AATTATTTAATATATAACAAATATAAGTTCTTTATAAGACTTCTTTAAAACACAAAGAAAGGTTAACTAATAAAGATATAATATATTAATTACATAAATAAATGCTAAAAAAGATATTTTTAAATATCTATATATATATATATATGAATTTTTTCAATTGAATTATACAAAAATTTATGTCTTGTTTGTCATCTAAATTAGTTTTTTCAGTGCTTTGAAAATATACACATTCAATAAAATTCAATACTTATTGAAAAAATGTACTTAAAAAGCATATTTCTTAGATTATATGATATAAAGTAAATGTATAAAAAATGAAGAGAGAGRGAGAGAGAGAGAAGAAACAAATTATTTGTTACTATTTGTTGTTCAATAATATTGCTTTTATAAGATGACTCGTTTGTGTATACGATATAACAATTGTTTGATTTCGTAAAAAGCGGACATTTATTTGTGAAAAAAGTTTGCAATGGGTTTATCACAAGCAAACAATTTCTAAATATATTTTTCTGCTGATTATTATTATTATTTTTATTATAAAAGTAATCTACAAAAAGCAAACTTTAAATGAGTAAAAAAGTCAAGAACCCGAAACATTTCTTTGATGATATCAAAAATAAAATGAGTTAAAATTTTTGTAAAAAATAGAATTTTTATAAATAAATGTTTTCGGAAATATTATCAGCAAAAATAACAGTATTGTTTGTATTGGTAAACGCAAACACACTATACATTTGAGACGTTAATATTAAGAAAACAAAAAATATGAAATAAATAAACCAAACAATTCATCTCTCATTACATTTACTTGTCATTCACTTTCTTGTAATCCTATAATCCATTAAAATATTTAGGTTAGAGTTTTGCATTAATTTTACACCAATTTGTTTATTACTAAATAAATAATTTTTAATTAATAATCAAAACAATTTTTACATAAATAAATAAAATAATTAGGTACAATGTTTATTTAAATGCAATTATATAATAATCAGAATATATCAGATATATTAATCAAAATATACTGTAATAACATAAATATTTATAAAATATACAAAGCCTTATAAAGCTTATTGATAATTTAACAGTTAATTTTAAATAAATTTATATTTATGGATGCATCTTTAAATAACGTAAAAAATAAAATAATAATAATAACATAAAAATAGAAAATATAGTAAAAAACAATGTTAAAATAACAATCACTGTGACATGAAAAACAAGAGTAATTATATATAAGTCAAATAATAAAAATAATTCAAAAAGGAAATTAAAAACAAGTAAAAAACAAATTTTTCAATAATATTTTCAATAAATAAATAATATTTTTCTCAGAATATATCATATATTTGATGGCAGAGAATCTCCTATTAGTTGATTCACTGTTTTTTATTTTGAAAATGAGATTTTGCTTAACTGACACCCGTAAAGCAATACCATATGTATAGACATGGCGTTAAATTTTAATATAACTAAAAAATGGGTTCAAAATTGAGTTAAAGATAACTATTTTCATCAAATTTTATAATTTATAAGTAATAGAATATTCTGTGGAATATAATATAGGGTATCATTTAGTGTAATCTCAATAAATAGTTTTAAGATAAGATCAACTTTTTTAACGGCTTAGGCGTAACATTAATACAACTTTCAATAAAATATGTATCATATAAATTGTTGGACTATACCTTTTAATTTTTTAAATTATTAACTGAAGTTTACAAATATGGGTTTAAATAATAATAATTAATTTATTAAATTTTATAATGAAAAACTTGAAAAAATCAAATTAGCTCAAATATATTCATTATAAGCAATTCAAATCACAATCTTTTTTAATACTTTTTTAATACAATCTATTGTTTTTCTCAAATTATTATTACGCGTTTTTCATATAATAAAATTATTTTCTATTTAATAATAATTTTTCATAAAACTATATAATAATAAATAACAATAATATTAATGCATTGCTTTAGCATTAAAAATAAAATCTAAATTAAAAGAATACTGAAATTATTGTCAATATTTGACATATCAGTCAATAATAAAAATAGTTTTTTTTGTAGAATCACTCCTACATTAAGAATATACTATATGTATATAAATATATAGTTATTGATAAATAAAAATCTATACAAATATTATTGTATGCATTTAACAAACCAAACATTTAGCCCAAATATTTATCCACATTTTGCTACAATTTTTATTATACTATACAACCAACACAAATTCAAACATTTATTTATATAATAATTTTTTATTCAAATATTTTCATTTGTACGTAATTTTGTAGTTCCGTTCAAAAATAAATTTTTATCAAAACAAAACTAAAGTTATGTTTATATCAAATTTTAAAGTACAATATTTCACATTTTATATCAATTTATAAAAAATTTATAAAATAATTTGATTTGTGATATTGATTTTTATTAGAGTAGGTTTTTTAATGGTAATTTACTTACTTTATTTAAATACAGCATATAGTATGTATAATATTATAGTTACATTTTAAAACTATTAGTATAATTTTAGTAAAATTTGAGTAATTAGTTTCTAATAATTATGAATAAAAAAATAATAAAAAATAAAAATATTTATGAATTTGCAGTTTATATTATTTCGTTTCTATTAGGACACTGAACATTGAAATTAATGAAAAATATGTTTAATTATCATAAGAGTAATTAAAAATTAGTTTGATTTCATAGCTAATGACGTTGTATTGCCTTTTGTATTACACTTTCAAACAATTTTAATAGTGAATCTCTAGTAATAAATAATTAATGGATTTTAAGTGATAAACTAAATAAATGAATTTACGAAATATACTATTAATATATGTATAACTATTGATATAATACCAATCAATTGACGAGTAATACTATTAATATTTTGATACATATTATTAATATTATATACTGTATATTACATTGTATTCACATAAATATACTGTATATATATATTGTATATGCTATCATAATAACCATTAATGATCATTATTAATGATATTTATTATTATTTATATTATTTACAAACATTGATTATTAAAAAACTTTTGATATTCAATTAAAGCCACTTAATTTTAAAAAAATTATTTACTATTAATGTGTTTTTAGGAATTATTATTATTATTTTATACAGAAGTACATTATTATTATAACTACTAAGTTTGATAAATAATATATATATATTTGTAATCATATAATCCGAAAATTAAATTTTGATTAAACAACATATTTGTAAGAAATATATTATAAAATATATTAATTTTACGGATTTTATGATCTCTCAAATACTATAATATAAAATAGTTGATCATAATAATGGTATTATTATTATTATGTTTTTTATAAAACATTTTATAAAATACTATATAATATATATGTATTATATGATATATAGTATATATCATATATATCATATATATCATATATACATATATATTGGTATAAAACAATTTTTATGTCATCTAACTATAAATAGTAATAAACACAGTGTGACATTCAATGTAATATATTATTTAACGTATAGCAGAATACTATACAGTACTCTATTATACAGTGTATAGTAAAAACATTGAATATCATAAGTGATATCTTTTCATTAAATGCTTACATTTTTAGTGTCATTCCGTGAATCAATTGTTTTCGGAATTTTTTAAATATAGTAATTATAGCTTAAAAATATATGATTTTAATATTAATTTAATGTTGTGTTTAAATGCAATATTATGCAATACAACTCTCAGCAACAAAAAAAATATATAAAAATAAACGGTTAAAACCAGTGAAGGAATAACTTTCATAAACAGATAGCAAATATCACAAAATTATGGTATACTGTATATGGCATACAAGGCATGTAATGGCTCATAATGTTATAAAAAGGCACACATAATGATATCTATATATCTATATATATATATATCGCAATTACGTGATATATAAAAATTACTTTCACAGCAATGTCTAAATCGTATTAACTCTTTTTCTATTAAATTAACTTTTGTTTTATAAGACATTAAATGCGTTATAACTTAAATAGTATTTTTGATTTTACTTAAAAATGTAAATAAAATTATACTCTATTATTAACATTTACAATTAAATACTGTTTATAACTTATGATAATTATCAAAATGCTTTGTCTTAAATAAAATCAGGTGTTTTTGTTATTTTACTAAATAATATACAGTAGATTATATACTGTATTTGATAAGTCTTATTTTAAATACATTTACTTTACTGTGAGAGTAGAAAATAATTTATATAATAATATGATATATTTAAATATGTAACTATAATTTTTTGGTTACAGATATAATAATAATAATGTCAATAAAAACTTAGAGATATATAATATATATAACTTTATATTTACAGTATATATAATAATTGTTATATACTGTATATATAACGTAAATTCTAAATATTCTACTAATTTGAAAATAAAATATGTTTTATTAGTTTAGTAATTGCCAAAATAAATGTTGTAGTTATTTGATTAGTTATAAATATAAATATATATTAATTATATAAAATTTTATATTGTAGAATATATTAAATAATCTATGTAATATTGATTATTTGTAGTTAAAAACCAATTTTCAAAATCAAAAACAATTTTACTAAATTTTTATATTAAATGTTTAATGTTTTATTAATTAATACACTGATGGATAGTTAACATAATGTTTATCCTTTAGAGAGCATTATTACTTAATTGAAATTATAATTAAAAGATTTACAGTAATATATATACTTAGTCTTAATATGAATTAAGACATATAATCTTTATCTTTGTTAATCGCTTTTATAATGACATCAACTATTTTTTAATAACTACTTATTTAACAATTTTTATTTAAAAAAAATAATTTTATAATTCTTAAAATTTTTCAAAGTAATAATTTTTTAAAACATATTTTTATAGATAATAATGTAAAAATTACATATAACGTATAAAATTATATTTACAAAAACTATGAAACATACCTGTCAATAGCTATTGCCATTAATGTGAAAACACTGGCGCCCACCGAAACAATAGCAATAAAGTTGGAAATTTTACAATAAAACTGACCAAAAGGCCAGTCACTGTTCAACATATAGATAAAGTTGAATATAACGTTAAGTGTGGACACCATTGTGTCGGCCAAACTAAGGTTAACCAAAAAATAATTGGTAACCGTTCGCTATAAAAAAATACAAATTATATTTATTACATAACAATATAATACATTTCAAAATTTATTTATTTTGTAAAATTTCCTTTTTCGATATCTGTATGCGATTATTGCTAAATTATAACTATAATAATATAACTAAGTATATATCTATTTTGAAATTATATTTGAAATACTATACTATAACTTAGTTTAATTTTGTTATTGTTTAGTATCTCTACGGAATAGTAAATGGTACATTATAAATATTATAATTTAATATATGCAAATAATATGTGCAAATATAGTGTATATGAAAGTTTATGATTATATGTATATAACTATAAAAATTATATGTTGCGGTCAATTACATAGTATGGTTTACACAGTATTTGTTACATCTATAATATAATAATAATGTAGTCTATATTCTGTGAGTATTAAAGGGTATATAAAGTGATAGTATTTGAGTGCAATAAATGAAATGAGTTTTAATGGTTAGTATATAAAATCATATGTAATGACCTACCATTCTCTTGTGTGCCAAAACAATCCATATGACAATGATATTACCGCCGGCGGCCACTATAACCATAGTCCCGAACACTATAGTCCACAAAATTTGTTGCCAAATGGGAAGTATGAATATGTTTTCGGGTGGCATCTCTGTTGTGCTCATATCGGAGGAACTGTTATCATAGATGATGGTAGTGTCCATCACTATTGGGTCACTCTTGTTAAGCATTGTCGACACAATTTTGTCGCTGTTATACAACTCTATGACCATACTATCCATACTTTCAATTTTGATTATAAGTTTACGTTTTTCGTCGATAAATATATTCTCTTATTTTTGTTTGCAATACAAACAACTTTTGTTGTAGTATTTGTTATGTAAGTCTATATCAGATGTGATGTTTGGTCTTTAAGTGAAGCCATTAGTTAATTATATTATTGTTGAGCCATCACAGCATCCAAACCGTTCATTCAAATGGCTGAGTAGTTGTCGGAGTTTTAATGATTAAATCGGATTTATTGATAACTAAATGTTTAAATGTGTTCAGACAAATGTTTCAATTTGTGGCACTTAAGTCCTAAACTCTTATATAAAGACACGAACTTTTGTGTTGAAAATACCACAAAATTGCACTTTAATTTTATTAAGTCTTTAGTTTATGTAAACTATAGTTGAATTACAAAATAGTACTCTAAGTGGTACTCAATTATACAATATAGTCCACAAAATTGAAAAGTAACATAAAATTGATATCATATTTATTACTAAAAGTATTTTACAGAAAAATGTGAGTCAATTTTGAACAATTGTTTAACTTTTTTGTTTAGTGCGAAATGTGGTGAAAACTTTATGAAAACAAGTTTTAAGGATTTAATTACTTGTTTTTTGATAGTTAACAATACATTAATCTTTCACTTTGTCGAGTGGCTGTGAAATTACAGATTAAATTAAAAGTAAAAGTTATTTTTTAAAGACAGACACAACACTCAAATCATTGAGCGGTAAGAATCTGCTTATTATTGCCAATAAACTCGTCATATAAATGGTAAAACTGACGGCACTAACGGTGCGCACGACTATCGGCCAAAGCTATGATCCGCACAGGCGTTATCAGACCAGTTGTGTTTATTTGGCAAATTATTTTACTCTTGTGTTTTACAAATTTTAAGTAATATATAAAAAAAATATTTTTTTTTGATTTCAAATTTATTAAAAAATAGAATTAAAATATGTTATCTATTTATATGGTATGTTTCAAACGACAAAAAGTATAATTAAATGTATTTTTTAAAAATACTATAAAAAAACTTAAATTATAAAGAAAATGATTGATGAAAAATAATGTTAACTTTAATTATTTCCGACGTTTCCAATCAGTATAATAGGAATACAATATTACGAGTGCTAACAATAAAGTCTTTACTTAGAAATTGATGCAAATCTAAGGACATTAAAAATGTCATCAATAAGACAACCGATTATATAATTATAATAAATTAAATATTTCTAACAATTCATTATTATAGAGTATATACTGTATTATTAACTGTAATAATAATTATTTAAAATTTTTTATTTTTCAAGACATCAATTACATACATAAGTTCATAATTTATATTCAAATTAATTCACTCTTCAAAGTACTATTCAAAGTACTGTTTTTAATATTAATAATGAATTATATGAACACTAAAATAATAAATAAATTATTGTGATATTTATTGAGTTTAGTTTAAATAAATTTAGTTTTCAAAGAAATACTAAGAATTGAAATACTTTTATACTTTATATAATTGTCATCCGCTATCCAAACATATTGACACCCAGTAGTAGGTCATGAATCATGAGATTTGAATTTAATTTTGTTTTTATTTCAAGTGTTTGACACCACCAAAGGTGACTAGAATTTTAATGGTTTGTTTATAAATCCATTTGTTTTGGTTATATTGTATCAAAGCACCGGTATTGACATATAATGTGATGTTAAAAGAAATTTTCATAAAATATTTCTAAAAATTTTTTATAAAAAAGTCTCTATTTACAACAGTCTCATTATAAACAACAAATTATAATAAATATATTTTAGATATATTGATAGTATATATTTATTATTAAATTATAAATAACTATATAAATTTAAATACAATAATATTAAAAACAATTAATTAAACTTTTATTACAACTTTTAAAAAATTCTTGAAATTTACTCATTTTCCCAACACTATTGACATTAACTTAAATCTCTACTCTACAGTACATTCAATACAACATTTCATTTTAAATATATCTATCAATACAATACAATATATCTATTGATACAAAAAAGTCAAATATATTGATATAAATTACTGTTGTGTAAAAAATTATTATTGTTATATAAAATACACGTTCAAAAAACATACCATTTTTATGTTAATAAATTGAAATTTAAAAAACAAAATATTATTTATAATTAACAATAATTACAATTTAATTTAAAAATAATGGTTCTTAAAAATAACATATAATTAATTATATTATATAAAAAATGTGAATTTGTTTTATTTTAGTAAATTGTAAATGTTAATATATTTTAATTATTTGATTAATTTTATATTAGCATTAATAATTTATTGTGTATTTAAGTACATTATAGGGGGATATATTTCAAACGTAGTTTTTTAGAGTTAAATTTTCTAAATTTTAATGAAATAAATAAACAATAATTGATATTTTAATATAATTAGCAGTTAAACATATTATTGCATTTAGAGTACCACATTAGCCACAAAAAACTGGCACAAAATCAAACGGGAATGGACTCCAGTGGCCATTACAAAATACATGTTGTCAACTGCATGACGGGAGTTCGGGGATCAATTGTGGTCAAATGCAATTACCGATTTTTTCAATTTTATTATTATTTAACCAAATTATATCATTATTCAATATTCCCCGTTAAAATCACTGAGAATAAAATCCCGTGACCACTTTATTAAAAGATTTCGGGAAAACGGGAATTTACTCTCAATTTACTCTCAATAGCGTAAATCTCTAATCTGGTCAAATAGTTTCCCGATATGTTTGAAAAATCTATTTAAAACAATGGATGATATATTTATTATGAAATATTTAGTTTAAAATAATTTTAATTCTGATTAATTAATTAATTTTGACATTTTAAACAGTTTACAAAAAGTAAATTATTTGAGATATGTATAGTATTACTATTGATATGAATGTAAATTAATCAAATTAACTAAATAACTTTTGAATATTTAAATTACTGTAAACTATATTGAATAATTTTTTTCTATTATAACTATTATACCAATACGTATATTATTTTTTATTAAAAAATATTTACTAACAATATTTATTTATATTAAAATTATTTCCAATCTAAACTATGTACAGTATATAAAATTGTCATATCTTATTATTTTTTAAATAATAATAATTTCCCTTATTTTTAATTAAATATTAATTTACAAGAAAATACAATTATACCGTATTTTAAAAATTAAATAAATTATGATATAAAGTTATAATGTTATTAAAATACTAATATATTAATACAAAGATAGGCTCTATCTTAAAATCAGACCGCATCAGACTCCCGACTCATAATGTTTTGTGAATATCTATTAAACTATATTTTTAATATAAAAATGACCACAAGTGGCAAAGTTATAGATAATTTTAGACTCAATATATTTATAATTAATTATTTTTTATTTACTCTTATGATTGACCAGATAATTACATCAGACCTCTTTTAACGGGTGATGCAATCTCATAGTAAGATATCATTTTGTTTGTTAAATATATCATTTTAAACATACATTACAATACTATAAAGTCATATTATATAATATACAATAACTTTAAACATTATACAGTATAATAGATATACTGTATAATGAATTCATGAATATGTACTTAATTTTCATTAATTTAAATTATTAATTAGTAATCACCAGAGTATCATTGATCTTAATTTTTAAATGGTCAAAATTTTATTCAAAAATAATAAATACAAAAATTTATTTTCATAAAATTCAAATTATATATATAAAATATTTTTATTATAGAAATGTAAATTTAAAAAAATAATTATAAGTTTTACAAAACATAAATAGATAGTTATTTATTTATTAATATTTGTTTGTAACAGTATATAAAATTTATTATATACTATATATTTAAGTAACAACAGTGTTGCTATTGGGAGTTAAAAAAAATACTTTATTATAGTTAGCGTTGGCAAGTTTATTGCAATTTTTAAAAATAAATTCTATGAAATTTCTATACTATTTATAAAAAATTAATGGTATAATATAATAATTTATCAAATCTGTGTCTTTAAATTTCTATTTGATATTGTAATTTAAATAAATGCTAATTTTTTAAATAAAATTTTAGAAAAATTAAATATTGACATTTGTCTTCAAAATCAGATACTCCTAAAATCACTATTAATTTAAAAAACTTTTAGTATATCTTTTGTTAAAATGTGTTACATTTTTATTTTCAACTAAATGTAATAATATTATCTCTTATTATTGTATTTTTTTAATTACTAGAAACTTATAACAAAAATTCTCGTAAAAATTGTAAACATTTCATCCAATATAAAAATAGGTAAATTAGTACACTATTTGCAATCTGACAAATGATATTTACGTTAGAATTAATTAATGCCAAATAAAAACCTAACTAATGATCTGTTGGTCATTATATCGATTTATTTAATTATCAAACGAGTGTTTTATCTTTTTGTTTTTTGTTATATAAACACACATTTTTTGAAGATATTTTTCAATATAAGAGACGATTATTGATTAAGTTATTATTTTTCTAGAATAAGATATTATATAAATGTTTTCTTTACTGAAAATGAAGTTTTGTTTTATTATTTTACAATATGTTATATCGATATAATAAAAATTGACAATAAATGGAAATAATTTGAGAAACATAATCACTTATTGACAATGGTCAACTGTAAATTGTTTGCTAAAAAATAATGTTAAATTATTGATTATATTTTTAAAAAATAATTATTTCTTAATTATAATAAAATTTTAACATTATAAGATTCAAATAATGCTTTATTTATTTTTGACATTCATTACATGTACAGTATATACTGTATGAATGAATATTATTGATTCTCTCAAATATTACTATAGTTTATATTTATTTGATAATTTTATACAGTGGTATATTTACGTATAGTATATAATACGTTAATATATTTTGACACTTTTTATATAATTTTATAATATTACTACATTTTATCAAATTATGCTAAAATTCATTTATATAAAAAAAGATGTTCAGTAGTTTCAGGTAAAATTTTATTATATTGTAAATATATTTTATTTAAATTTTATCCATTAATACTTTTAGTGACAACATATGTAACGAATACATACACCGGTATATCAAATGTATGATTGATATGAGTGTTGAACAACGTATATACAGTGGTATAAAGTATAATAGAGTAGCAAATATGCATTTCACACGATTCATAAATAACTACATTATAACATATACTATATATAAAGTAATATTAATTCAAATCCATTTGTGATT